TGTACGAGTATGTGCTTTAAAGCACTTACAGTTGCGAGATGATGATCTGAATCAATTCGCAATTGTAAAATACAATATTTATCTTGTGGCAAGAAACATTTACTTAAAATTTATGCAAACTTATTTTGCAAATTTAGCATATAAAACTACAATAATATTTTATATACCAAACTGCATATTTGGTTTTACAATTGAATAAGTTTTTATTTGGGCATTAATAATTGGATTTATTTTATGTAAATTTTTTCGATTTTACAAAATCTTTGGTAATAAAGAAATTTGTTGAATTATAAACGTAATAAATATATAAAATAAAATTTTAAGAATAAAATTTTTGTAATAAAACTAAAAATTAAAATAAACTATCTATATATACCCGTATAATGATTTGCATATGTTGTTCAATTACTTTTTAAATAATATATTTTTTTATTTGTTATAAATAGATTGTTAACTTACCAGAAAAACAATCGATCGAAACTTTCTGGTATAAGAAATATTTATGTTTACTTACATACTTTGCCTTAGCATTGCATTATCAAATAATTTATTTTATTCTAAATTTTTAAAATAAATTTTTTGTATTTAGTTACCTCTGTTATCAATGTCAAAAATCACTAAAATTGAAGAAATTGAGTAAATTTAAAACATAAAACTAAATAATAAAAACTTAGACGTGCATTTACGGCCCTATGATCCACTGGGAGATGAGGATGACAGAAGAAGAAGTCGTGTGTTTCATTATCATATGATTACTTCTTTTCAATTTATATAAAAATAGTTATAAATCAACTGAATTTAAAGTAAAGAAAGGTTAAATTATATTACAATGGCAATCCTAAGTATCTATTAGCCCATTGTGTTATGGTTTAAAATTTAAAAGACTTAAAATCATATCGTATCTTTAATGAAATTTAAAATGCTTTTTAGTAAAGGTTTTGCAACTGAATAAAATCCTTTAAAATGTAAGACCCTAGTATGTGTAATTTACGTAAATTACGGGTTCATCACAGCTGCAGCAAGAGTCATCAAAAAAATATTTAAACTGATATCCTCACTGAAAGAATCATAAGGAAGCCCAATTTGCATGTATATGTCTGTATAACATAATCGTTTCATACAAGAAAATTTCACCAATTATTTGCATAACACCTAACCATATGCCCAAATCTTCAGAGCCACAGAATTTATTCCTCTAATACCCCAGCTTATTCGCTTGCATTTGAAATTCTTGTAATACCTTCTGCTCAAAAAGTATTTTGTTGTTTGTTAACTACTCATTAAGTAATAGACCTTATTCAAAAAAATTTTTTTTGTTATGTTGGTACACCCTTTCTTGACATATGGCACAAATTTGAGCGCCATCTGTCAATTAGTTTGTTTACAGCAGCTGTTAATGTGAGACTATCTCAAGTGCATTTAGCGATTTTTACTATGGAAAATTCTTGTTGTACGCGACTTTTTAACCACTATCAACGGCACCACCATCAACGCTTAGGCACTATATTCGCCAAATCTGGAGCCGTGTGATTTTTTTCTGTTCCCGAAACTCAAATTGCCTCTTCGTGGTAAGCGTTTCGATTGAATCGGTAAAAGAGAATTCACTGAATGAACTAAAATCCATACCTTCACGGGCCTACGAAAAGTGTACGGAAGATTGGGTTAAACGTTGGCATATGTGTATCGCTTCAGAAGGTGCATATTTTGATAAAATAAATTTGGGATAAAATTTAAATTTGTGTGTTTTGTTTACAAAAATCCGAGTACTTTTTGAGCAAAAGATAGGGTCTTTCAAATATTCACCTTTCCAATATTCCATATTAAGAATTAAAATTATTAATTATTTTTTTAAATAATTTGAAATTAAAAAGTGTAAAAACACAACAGCAAAACTTTATCATTAATATTGAAGGAGTAGTTTAAAATAAATTTGAGGTACTTTATCTTAAGCGCAACCTTCTTAGCGCTCCACCTTTTGTTTATGTTTATAAAAATGTTTTAAATAAATTTAAAATACTTAAACTAAAGCAGAACCTACTTAAGGCTACGGCTTATAGATCATCGAAGTGTTAAACGAATTCGTGTTTTATCTTCTTTGTCAATATCCATCTTTAGCTTGTACAAGATTAAAAATTTTTGAGCCTCTTTGTTTTTACTGCTCTGACAGAATTGTCATTCCTTAAAATTAGGGACTAAGCCAAGTTTAGAATAAGAGTAAACTTCAACTTTCAGTAGTATCTGTGGGAAGTGTTGTCACAAGTTCTTCTTTTGGGTTCTTCGGGTAAGCGCTAATACATGGTTCTACAATAAACAATTATTTCAGCTAAAGTGGGCTTTGGTGTACAAAACTACTACTCTAATTCAACATGGTTTTTTTTGTATATAATGTAAAACTAAAAATACCAAATGTTGCATTAAAACCAGCTTAATTTAAAACAGAAGCTCATATTATAAATACATTAGGTAATGTTCTAGTGTTATTCAAGCTTAGAGTTCGTCAATTTGCTATTCTTGTTTTATCAAGAAATTTGATTCATATACCACAGCTATATGTAAATGCAATTAAATATTACAGTTATCGTTGTCAAACTTCAGTGGAATTTTAATCAATTTTTTTTATTATTTCTTATTATTATTTTTTATTATTGTTATTTATTATTATTATTATTTATTATTATTACTATTTATTATTATTATTATTTATTATTATTATTATTTATTATTATTACTATTTATTATTGTTATATATTATTATTTATTATTATTATTATTTATTATTATATATTATTATTTTCATTATTATTATTATTATTATTTTTATTTAGTTGTAAGGATGGAAATTTACACTAAATTTCCACCTACATAAACGCTACATAAACATGCACTAAAAACAATAACAACACGAACTAAAACACATCAACACAACACAGTTTTTTATAAAACGACACACTTTTTATATGGTTATGTTCAAACTTGGAAAAAGTAGACTCACTGGTAATAAATGTTGCAAATATCTGGAATTAAATAGATTAATTAATATTTAAAATATTTAGTCACAACCATTTACCAAAACCCAAACCGCTTACAAGCCTTAATAACATCTCAAACTAAGCTGAAATAATATTAAAATGAAATATAAAAATATAATTAAATAAATTAATAATAAACTCATCTTATTTATTTGTTAATTATATTTCTTGTTTTTATGTTGTAAATATTCATCAAATATTTGCACTTTTAATATTTCATTTATCGTAACAAACAAAGAGTAAATAAAAAAAACCACCACCGACCGAATGTAGTTTTAAAACACGTTTTGTAAGAATCAAACAAAGCAGCGTTAACATAAGAAAACAACAAAAATATTCGCCGTAAGAGAAGCTTAAAGAGAAGATAAATACCCAAGCTGAGTACCGCACAAAACATGAAATAGAACATCAGAACGGCAAGAATAAACAAGAATTACGTGAGATCAGCTGTAAATAAAATGATACGCTACACAAAAGCTCGGTCGAGTGTGTATATAAGACGTGCATTTTACTTATGCGAACACTTTGGTTTATAATTTCAAAGGCACATACACCTTGGAAGACCAAGTCAACTAAGCTCTAGAGGCACAAAGGCATAATAACTATTAGGACACGACAGGTGGTTTAACGTCGACTGGGTCCAAAATAGTTAATAAAATTAAAATACATAAGGATATTTTATATGAAAAAAATATCGAATCAAGGTATAATAACTATTAGGACACGACAGGTGGTTTAACGTCGACTGGGTCCAAAATAGTTAATAAAATTAAAATACATAAGGATATTTTATATGAAAAAAATATCGAATCAAGGTATAATAACTATTAGGACACGACAGGTGGTTTAACGTCGACTGGGTCCAAAATAGTTAATAAAATTAAAATACATAAGGATATTTTATATGAAAAAAATATCAAAATCAAAACATAATAATTATTAAGACACGACAGGTGGTTTAACGTCGACTGTGTCCAAAATAATTGCTAAAATCAAAATATATAAGGATATTTTATATAAAAAAATATCTTTCGGAAGGAATAATTACTAGATAATTATTAAGACACGACAGGTGGTATCACGTCGACTGTGTCCAAAGTAATTCTCTGTGATACACAAAGGAGACTGACTATAACGAAAATCTCCAAACGAAGGCATAATTGTACTTGAATACGACCGGAGGTCTCACACCAACAATAAGGTCAGAAGAATACAAAATCAGGGGCTTGAAGAAGGAAGATCTATCAAAAATATTCAAGGACTGACACTTCTCCAAGAATATCTTTATTTAATTATTAAATTTTTATCCTTTTGAAAAAAAACTACATATTTAAATGTTGTATATATATACATATATATTTATTTTATTTTTTTTTTTTCTGTGGAACAAAGTTAATTTGTTTTACTATACTAAATAAATATTTAAAATTTATGAACTCTGAATAAAGTATTAAGTAAATAAAGAAATTGAAATAAAATCACAGCGCTTTGAATATTTTGGTCACAATCTATAAATTTATTGTGACGACTTTGGTGAGACTGAGCATACCTCAGCAAATAGGCAACGACTGAGAGAAAGGGTCGTTACATAGTGTTGTTATTTTTTCTTTTTATTATTATTATTACACAAAACCAATTAAATATTACAGTTGTTGTCGTCAGACTTCAGTAGAGTTTTAATCAATTTTTTTTATTATTTGTTTTTATTACTTCTTATTGTTATTATTATTACTCTAAATCAAATAAATATTGCAGTTCTCGTTTTCAGACTTCAGTACAATTATAATCAATTTTTTTTTATTATTTCCTATTATTATTATTATTATTATTATTACACAAAAATGATTTGTTTTCATATACATTAAACTATGTAGTAGTATTTTTCATTGCTCAAGATATTTTTAAATCTTTTCAAAATAATAAATATATATGTATATAGTAGTAAATGTTTTCTTTTCTCTTCCATTGCAGTTAAAATCAAAAAGTCTCACGCATTTAGATGGCCTCGAATCCATGATTGCATGCCATCAAGGTACCGAAGCTGGAAAATCAAACGTAAGTGTTGTTAAATTTGAATGAAACTGTAGAATGAATACACCTAAAAAAGAGTTCTTTTACGGCACTTATATCTATTAAAGTGCTAACAAATCTAGCAATTTAGCATTTTAGCAATTTAGCAATTTTTTGTGCATAGCCGTTATTGTCAAAGTAGTGCACAAGCATGTAAGGCAATGCCACACAGTGCGTATGAGTGATATTGATAGCAATGCATGGCATTCAGACACTCAATTAAAAAAACTGTTAATAACACTGAATTGATTTTATTTTCTGTTTTTCTTTTTTTCTTTTTTAAGTGCATGCAAACACGTATTTATCGCTTTATGTAATTTGTTTGTTTGTATTGATGTCGATGTCGATGTCGATGTTTTTGTGACAAGCCTGATGGGCTAATTGGCAACAGCGAATACAGGGATGTTACGCGTTAAAAATGTGAAAAAAAAAAATTACTATTACTTATTTTCTTATTCTCTTGAGTTTTGTTCAATTTTCCTACATTGAGGAAAAAATATGGCAAATGCAATTGTCAGCGAGCTTTAATGATAACTCAATGTCGTTCAGAAATTGAAAATTGTTGTTGTGTACTTGGTAGTTGTGTTGTTGTTGTTGTATGGACTCATAATGGAAAAAAACACTTTTTCAGCTACTGCTTTTGTCATTTGATTTATTGCATTTTCTCTTATTGTTTCCGAAGTCGAACTAAAGATTAATAAAATTCTTTGGGTTTTTTTAGCACAAGTCAAAAAAGTTTTTAGTGAAATTTATCTATCAAAATTTTACTAATTACTTTTTAATTTAATTTTTGTTTCTTTAATAGCATCAAAAAATTAAAAATATGTTTTTAAATTTATGCATTTTATTTATTTATAGTTCTATTTCTTTTATAAACATTAATAGCTTTTCTATATACTTATACTTCTATATACTAAATATAAAAATATATTAATGACACTCTGCACTAAAATTGATTCTCTATGCTGCTGTTTATTATATACACATTCTTCTTCACCTTTTTCTGCATTAATATCAAAAACCAAAAAAAAAAATATTACGAATTTAGTTGGAATCACCTGCTTTAACACAAGATATTACTGTTTCACCGCTCTTATCACAACCACAGCGCAAACAACAATCGAAACAACCACAGCAACAGTTGTTCGCTCAAACCCATCATAGCACTTCCCAGCAACGTCTAGCACAGCCACCACCTACCATATATACTCAAGCTCCACAACAACCCGCCACAAAATCTTCACCCGTAGCGCTTTCGCCTACAACAACGATCACAACTTCATGTTGTAATAATAAAATTTGTTGTTTGGGCGGAGGAGGCAATAGTAGTGCAACTGTTGGCGGAGAAAGTAGTATAAATACTTCTCATCATAATGTGAAACATCAATTTCAGAGTGGAAGTTCCAATGAAACTGCAACTAGCATTCAGCATTCTCTAACACCTGCTTTAACCGGTTTTAATAACACCACAACCACTTCTATTGCAAATAATAATTCGTTTAACCATGGCATGGGTTTTCCCGGTACAAATTATAAGAAGAAATCATCTTTTATGCAACGTAAGAAACCTCTACTGACACGCAGTGAGGTGAGTTTCCCTATGATTGTAGTTGTGTAGTGCGCGTAATTGTGGTGAATACCAATTCAATTGCTTTGATTTTTATTTTTACCCATCAAGCAATGTCAAATATTTCAAATCCTTTTTATATTATTTATGCCCACTTTTTTATTATTATTCTATTAATTTATTAAATGAAAAATTTAATATTATGTTTCCACGTAACCTTCTTAACCACTTATTTGTTAATAACCTATTTAAATATTATATGATTGTATCGGTGATGGAAACTCACGTTTACAGTTAATATGAAAAAAAAATTTTTAATAAATATTTTTAATAAATATTTTATTTTAACCTGAAATTTTATTTTAAACTATATGATTTTTTAATAAAACTGTATGTACTATATATAATATAGTATAATAGTCAAGTACAACTTTGAGTTAGTTGGCTAATGAACACTGACTCTGAGCTTCAAATTCGACAGGACATGGGTTCAACCCTTAGTATTAACCATCTCAAAAAAATTATTGACAAATAATTAAATATAAGAAATAATTTCAACACAGATGATGGGTATTTGGCAATACTCGACGCAGCTGTATGGTCAACCAGAAATTTAATTAATTAAAAACATTTTGTTGTTGTGATTCACTACTGTTCGATAAAGACCTATCTATTGCTAGCTATTGTTTATATAAAAGTTTAAGTTCTTTCGTCAAAAGGACATTAAATAAATATGGATTTAATATATAATATAGTACACACACATACACATAGTGAATAAGAAGTACAGGCTCGTTAACTTATTTATTATTATTAGTTTATTGGAAGGATTATAAGTTTGAATAAGAAATACGCTTCTCACATCTACTTCTGTAGCAAATTACTACCACGATTAATATGAATCATGGAACACTCTTTTTTCATAAATAATTTTAGAACTTCTGAGAGTTCTGAAGCCCTACGAATTTCATTGCAGTACTATAGCTGGAGTGTTATTATTTGCATTTCAAAGGGTACGTTCGCCCAATTCAGTGTTACTACCTATCTTTTATTACCACTTGATAGATATAATTGAATGATTAATTGCTTGTTTGTTATTGTATGAATACCTTCATTCGTAAATACTATTTGGTACTGATGCATATTCTTTTAAGCAAAGACGAATAAAGATGGATGCCTTTCTGACAATATTGCTTCTAGTTTTTCACATTTTTTAGCATACATAAGTATTTCTTTTGTGCTGATATTAAGCACCATACTTTACTTTGGTCTTAAAACACGTGTGATAACGCCATTATTCTTTTTTACGATATAGCCTAGAAATTTCTATTAATTTACGCGTTTTATCACCAGGATTTTCCATTAATTTTGATTTTAGTTAACTTAATTTTTAATGTGACTCTGTGGACGTTGCATAATATTAGAAATAGCTCACTTTTTATATTCTTGAGACTATGATTGATTAGACAGATATCGTTCACTAAATCTAATAGAAAATCTAGTCTTTCACTATCGTTCTAAATCTAATTGAATATGAAATGTAAAAATGTAAAGTTTTAATGGGCTCATTTGTTTATTGAAAAGGCTTACATCTTTAATACAATCGTTTTAAAGTGAATTAATATCTTTAGGTACCACTATGCAAGTTAATACATCAAATATCGTCTCTGCGCTGAGCTGTAAGCTGTAAGTCGTAAACAATACTGCTCGTGTCGTTGGATCCCACTTATTAATTATTGCATTCTCTTTAATATTAATACTGCTATAAGTATTCTCTAACTTATTATTATGTATATTGTTTTTGTAATTTTTGCAATTAGATCTAGATCTCCAATATGGAAATTGGAGCTATTAGACCTTTTGTGAAAAATCTTGACAATGCTCACATATTTCGGTGCTTCGATGGTATTAATATGCTATTTAGTTAGATCTGTCTCTGACAATCAAGACCGACTGCAAACAAAACGCATTTTTTTTATTATTCTTGAGTTGGAAGAAGTGAAATATAATCACTGAAACAAAGCGCTAATGTGAAAATCTTCAGAATCAGTTTTAACTTTAAGGAAATCGTTTCATACTTTTAGTCGGCACTTGATTGTTAATTAACATATATTATCTACTCTGCCCTTAATTGGGAGACGGGGGTCTGTACACTTAAAATCAGTCATTTCACCAATGCACTTTTATACTCTATTTAAATTACTACTCCTCACTACTCTATATATTTAATTCCTGTTTATTGAATAAGGTTTTCTTATATTTACTTATACTTTTTATTAAATATTCGCTCTGTTTACTTATATTCAGTAGTTAACTATTCTATCTTCTAGGATAAAAACCTTTAACTGTTGCATTTGCTTTGATTTCATATTTTCATAATCAGATTTCTGTTATCAGTGCTAATTCATTATATGCTTTTATATTTTACATATTAGACTACTTTTATGGTGAAACAATACTTTCTGACATCAAAGATATATCATCAAAGAATTTCGTAAAAATTCAATGCAAAGATATAATTATTGACAACACTTATTTGAAATATTTTTATTCATTCTTCCAAACTATAAAATCGTAATAACTTTTTTTAGGCTTAATTCACATTTTGATTTCTCTGAAATTAAAAAATATAAAATATTCTTATACAATTATTTTAAATATTTTTATTCACTCTTCCAAAATGTAAATTCTTAACAACTTTCTATAAGCATAGTCCACAATTTTATTTTTTTTATAATATTTTATAATATATATATAAAAGAATGTATAATATAAAAGAACGAAACATAATAGTGTTCATCACTATTGAATAAAAACGGCATTAAGAATTTTTTTTATAATTCTTATTTGCGCATCCTTCAAGTATCTTCCCTTAAGCTTTTCTTCTTTAATAGTATTTTTTTCAACAGGAAAAACTGCCATATTTTTTTCTTTATATCCTTTTTCTCTCATTTTGATTTACTATTTGCACCTTTTCCTAGTTTGCCTTTATGAAGTGCAATATTCAATTCATCTTCTTGATTATAAGTCCCATAAGGACCCTCACTGACTTATTTAACTTAATTTCCTTTGGCGTTATTTTTAATGAAGACTTTCTTGCTATTTTAAATTGTTTCAATCTAGCTTGAGATAAAATGACAGATTTATGATTATTGTGCTAATAAAAGCAATCTCATTATTAAGAAATTATAATTATTATTTATAAATCTATTTTGAGCAAATATGCAACTGATGTCATTTCAGAGAAAATGTGCTATATTTAAATTTTGTTGATTAACTTCTTAAAATATATTTGATGAATTGATTGTTTTTCGCAATTTTCCTAAAAATACGACATCTGAATATAAATATCACTTTTAAACTAATTACTGAGTGTTGTCATATAACAATACTTGCAATTTAAAAATAGACTATATAT